ACTCTGTTTAAATGCCCTCAGGTTCAGAAAGCTGCCAGTAAAAACTGTCAGCCTGCCTACGCGCTCACAGGAAGAAGAGAAGAAGACTCACGGATGGCCATAAAAGGACATTCATCTGTGGGGTGAGGAAGAGGAGGAGAGACGCTACAGACGAACGCCAGCAGGCAGACGAAGAGCAGGAGAGTCCCAGTGAGCCCCCTCATTGTTCTTCTTCTTCTTCTTCACTGAGTCACAGCTGCAGCAGATGTTTTTCAGCTCACCTCAGACTAGTACTGACAGTACTCTCTCCCAGTATCAGCAGTACTGGTAGTATTGGTAGTAATGCTGTCAGCAGTAGTCCCGTCTGTGGTCTGAGGCGTTCTGTCTGATCTCAGAGCTGCTGTGCTGTCCCCTCCCCTGGTGATGCAATCCAAGTGTGTGTCTGTGTCTGGTATGTGTGCCTCTGTGAAGACCCGTGCGTGTCTTCCTCTTCTCACTTCAGGCTAGCTGGTTTTGTTTGTAGACTTTTAAAAACTGTTATGTCCTCAGAAATATAGAAGTCCTGACGTACCTGCTTCCTACTACCTCCCCGCCATCCTCTCCACAACCCACACCCAATCAGAGCTCAGCGGGGCAAGCTGCGTTTCTACTCTGAAGCATTTTCCACTTTTACTGCGAAAAGAAAAAAAACATTAAAAAACTGAAACAAGAAACTCTGAAAACTGAAAATCAAAAACAAAACTGAATAAACAACAAAACCTGTAAAACATGATGAGGCTTACCTGCACTGTTCTCACCTGGCCTCACACGGACGTCACACTCAGACGTGCAGCTCTGCTTCAGTCCTCAGAAACTAACTAGTGAGAAACTATCTCCATCTTCCCGAGCGGTTAGCAGCTGATAAGCAGACTTCCCGTCTGTGGCTGATGCAGAAGTTTAGGGTGTTGTTCATGTCCGACGCTCCACACGAGCTCAGGCTCAGATGGCCTCTGTGTGCCCTGCAGAGCACAGCAGGAACATCTGGAAGGAATCATAAAGCAGCAGCTTGAAGAAAATTAAAAATTCAGAGCAAGAAGAAAAGACGACAACACTGCACAAAATAAAACCTGAGAAGGGTCAAAGGTCACCTGCAAAAGAGCAAACTGGACTTTAGCTGCTCTGAAAGGAATCAGTGGCTCTCAGGTCACTAAAACAACCTCATGTACTGCATTTACCTGCACAGGTAAGAGTTTATACAGGAGTGAGATATTTCAGGACGACTGACCTCATCACAAACACTCATGAAGCTTCAGCAGGTCTGCTCCAAAG